TAAATAAAAAAATAAAATAAAATAGAGAAGATATACTATTTTTTTTTAAAGTTGGGGTATTAGAATAATTTAGAGATAAGGCACAAGTACTCCCCTAAACTATGATCGATGTCACTCCCCGAGCCTACACCCTGAGCGGGACTGACACTCGATAACCATTGCTGGCCCCAAGTGAACCCTTGGCCTTGCTAGACTCTCAGCGGAAGACTTACTCAACAGAAAATGTACTTAAATTCAATCTTAAATAAACTGTCTGAGTAGATAAACTGAGAATGTTTAGAAAATAACATTCAACTTAGCCAAAATGGCAAGTCAAGTCTTTAAAATCAAACAACTGAAATATCAGGACTAAAGAACTCATAGCTAACTATCTATGAAGCCTCTAGATACTAAGAGGGATGTCGGTACAAGACCCCCGATCATCCTAACAACTGAAATAACCAAAAGAAATAAAGCAAAATATAACCAAAGGGGTCCTCCAGAAAGCAAGGAGGCTCACCAACTGACTCTGAGTGCTCAACTGGATCAATGAGGCGCTAGATGCTGATCATGATTACTTGTATCTGCATCATAAATCGATGCAGGCCAAATGACATCAGTACATGTATAGCAAGATTAAATAAGAGGTATTGCATATGGGAATGATCTATGAAATGAAAGGTTGGAAACAGAGTTGGAGATGAGCGCTAGCCAATGGTTAAGACTTCAGAAAGCACCTTAGCAATTACCAGTAATGCGCCCACCTGCAGAGCGTAGTCCTCCCTGCAACCTTGAAGTAGACTATTTCTCGAGTTTGATCTTATCCCTAAAGCCTTTTTGCAAAAGGAGTAGGTAGCGAGAAAGATGACAATGTATTTAAATAAATACAATAAAAATTCAATTTGTATATAAAGTAATATAATTTTGTGGGAGTTTCTCTAACCGAAAACCATCACTATGAGCTATTTGATGATACATCGTCTCGCCTACGCTGCCAGAACTGTCATATACCTTGTCGGAGTATAGAACCTCTCAACTAAGTGGATCCACTAGTCTATGGTAAAAAGTACTAAGGAATCATCTAAAAAATATGACCCTTTCTACCCACGATGGCTACATGGTTTATGGAGATCTGAGTTATTATGAACTCGTCTCCATATCGGTCCTCAATACTACTCCCAAAATAATCAGCTCATATGTTTAAAAACAAAATCTCTTTCTGTGGTTTGAGATAATTACTCAAAAACTAGCTCAAATGCTCTCTTGGAAATTGGTGTTTCCTCTCTTATTTAAATGTGAAAACATTTACTCTTTGGGAATACTTAGTTCCCATATACTCTTTTTGAAGAAATGAACTTCATTTGTTACTCTTACTTAATTCAAAACTCAAGCCTTAAAACAAGTTTAAAACACTTGCAAAAAACTTCTTGAAAGGACTATAAGAACTCTCTAGACTTGGCTCTTAACTTTCCTTGAATTTGAATTTATGGATTCAAGGATTGTGATTTGTGAAAGGAATGATCTCATGATGTTTAGGAGTGTTTTTAGATAGTTAAACATGAGAAACGATCAAGAAATCACTGTCTGGAAACAAGTCCGCGACGCGGAGATGCATTTTAATAGTTGGTTGCAAAATAAATTTTGAGATAGTGGAGTTCGCATCCTTTCCGCGATGCAAAGGGAAAATTTGCTCACTGGGGGAGCAAGTCCGCGACGCGAAGTTGCGTTCCAATTCATGCTCGGCTTTTTTCTTCTTCGTTTTCTAACCCCAATTCACTAAATTCGATTCTTTTTCTCAATTCATTTTTAGTTTCAGATACCCAGTACATGAACACAAGAATCTAACTCAAAACAACTCTATAAATGGATGCTATAACCTCAAGAACTCCTCAGTCTCAACCCAATTCAAGAACGAAAGAAAATTCAAGAACACATATCAAGAACATCAAACTTTCAACCTTTTTAGAACGAATTCACGCTGAAATAAACATGTTTGATGCATGGGTGAACAAACCCAACGCTATGTGAACTCACATACCTCGTAGGATTGAATACTTGGCGAAATCCACAACCAAAATCGCAAGAACTTGACGAATCTTGAACTTCTCTTCTCCTTTCTCCTCTTTTCTGTTCTTTCAAAGCTCTAGCGTATTTCTTGATTGCGTAAACTGAACTAACTCATTTTAGACCCCACATAACTTACTAAAAATGAAATAGTTTAATTGGGTAATGAAAAGACCATAATACCCTTCTAAAATCCGGTTTTGACTTTCCTTATCTAGACAACCCAACTTCAAATGGGCATATCTCCCTCATACGAACTCAAAATTGAGAAAACTCAGTGGTGTTGGAAAGATAATTCAAATATATTTCCTACGGTATATTGTATCACACCTAACTCATCCTGAGCTAGGATTTATGGTCGGTTGAAGTTGACCCAAAACTCAAACTTAACAGAACTTAAACAATTTTCCAGATTTTTCATTCTTTCCAAAAATGACTCTTTCTAATTCTAGCTCTTTCGCTTAGCAAGGTGTTACAATCGAAATCCCAGAGACACACATTAACTAAACTAAGGTTCTATTACCCCTCTAACTCATTTTTTTTTGTAATTTTATGCACCTTTTGGCTTACGTGACACACTCTGTGACTCCACGTAGTTAAGGCACATGAGATAGGTTTGGGTGTGACGTAAGCTAAAAGGTGTATAAAATTACAAAGAATGCATTAGGGGGAGGGGGGGGGTAATAGGACCTTAGTTTGGTTATGGTATGTCTCTGGGATTTTGGTCATAGTCTAGGGGGATACTTGTACCTTATCCCAATAATTTAACATTTAAGTTATGTTATTCATGCTTTTAAGGTAATATATATATATATTAATATAGACATGTATAATTTTAATTTGGTATGAAATTTTAAAAATAAAGAAGACTTTTAATTTTCTAGTATTAAAGTAAGGATATGTAGAATGTACATTTGTGATCTTAAACTGTCATATGAAAGTTAGAAGTACAGAATAGCCCCCCCCCCCAACCCATCAAAAAAACATTCTATTTTAAACTGAACAAAAATAAAAGTACAACCAAATAAATTTGAAATAGAGGGGTACTTGTTAAATCTAGTTTGGACTATTCAAGTTTTTGTAGTTTGCAATAGAAAATTATTGAACATCTTGTCAGATAGAAGTTGTTGCAAAAGTTTGTTTAAGACAATGAAAATGAGTAGATATGAATTATCTAGATAGTCTTTCTGTGTGTAGTTGAGTTATTCCATTCTCATTGTTGCATATCTTTTTGTTGATCTATCTAATTGACCCCAAAAAATATTGTCACTGCATAATTGAACATTTCTTAAAATCTTCCTTGTTTTATGAAGAAGAAGAAGAATAGAAAACTTAGAAAATTCATTATTTAAGAATGTGGAAAACCCCCTCTATTTATAACCAACAAAAGATAGTATAAAAAGGTATTAATTATGCCTTATCTGAAAAGTCAGAACTCTTCGGAGAAGTTACAACCGTCATGTGAAAATGTGTCAACTTTTAATATAATATAGTAGAAATACTACCTTAATAGCATGAACTCCCTTATAATGCCCCAAACTTAAAACACCCAATTTAATAATATATAGAAGACATACTAAATTGGGTGTTTTAAGTTGGGGGGATTATAGTAATTTAGCATTCAAATTAGGGAGTTCGTGATTTGAAGATGGTAGTATATATATATATATATATATATAAGACAAGAACAAATAAGAATTACATTCCATAATGTTTACTGAATAAAATGCTTACCAGATCACTTTGCAGAACAAGTAAGAATTACATTCCATAATGTTTACTAAAATGCTTACTAGATCACTTTGCTGAATAGATATACTTGCAGTTATATGAAGACAATTAAAGCAGAAATCTATCTGAATACATATTTTGATTGTTTGTCTGTTTTTTTAAAGCAAACACATATAACATCTGCCTAGCATCTTCCATAGACGAACTATAATGGCCAGAATACAATCCAAAGAAATTGTAGCTAATAATATCGTAAGGAATGGGGTGTTGGGATCTTCTGAACCTGCAAAACATTAGCAACGCGGCCCTGAATCAACTTGAAGCGGATAGTCTCACCACTAGCTATCTTGTTATCTTTTCGAAATTCTGTCCATCCTCTTTTTATGATAGCCCTACGCTCAGTGTACTCTATTTCCACTCCCCATTCTATTCCTTCTTCATTAACCAGCCTCATATTCTTCATGTTGACTATGTTTGTCCTTTTGGCGAATCTCATTGGGATAGTCTAATAAACATATTTATCAAACAAACATGATCATTAGATTTTTAGGAAAACAATTTGAACGTAAAGGAATGAAAAATCTAGAAAATGTAAAAATAGAATGTACAAATTATTAAACCTTACCATATAAGTAGTGTGTGTCTTTTTTATAACAATTTCAAAATACGGAGTGTCACCAGTTAAGTTCACCACGCTGTATCGACTGTTATTCTTTGAACCAATTTCTTCACTTCTATGATTAGCTTCTCCGACCTCCTGATCTGCAACAAGCTTGATATAAGTAGAACAACTACAATGATATGATTCCTACCGAAATGTTACGGAATATCTAAGAACACAAGTTTTAAAAGTCTTATGGCCACATATATTAATGTTATGACATGTTTATAATCACTGGTTTCAATAGTAAGCTTCATTTCATTTTAAAACTATGTGTCTATTGAAATTTTTATCACATAAATTGAAACATGGGAGTTGCTACTTATTTTTAGGAAAGATTAAGGATATTACTTGTAAGTTATACTCACGTTGATATACAAGTCTCTAACTACACTAGAAACAATCTCTTAAATTATTTTAAAAAGTCTAATAAGCTTTTGGTCTTACCGGTACCAATTTTGGGTTTTTGCTCGTGCTCCTCGCAGCCTTCACTTATTTCTTGAAATAGATATCCAAATGCAATGTATTACTACTAAATGCATTCACTTAATAGCTAATAAACCAGTTAAGGATAATACTCACCTTGAGACTCTTCCTCCTCAAGTGCGTTAGCATTAGTTTGAAGGTTAATTGGAATATCTTCCTCTTCTTCCTCAATTACATTAGCATTAGTCTGAAGGTTCACTCGACTATCATCCTCTTCTTCCCCTTCTTGTCTTTTTCTTCTTCTCTTCTCTACTAAGGGGCCATGGCTCAGATTTTCAGCAAAATGATCCAACATATCCATAGAATCATCTGATTCAATATCTTCTATTGGATATTCAATTTCTGTTGTACTCATATCAAATATAGTGACATCAAAATGATCACGAGCATTGTATCCAAATATCAAAAATTGCCTGATGCTTATTGCGTAGTAGTCACTGAATTCCTTCCATCCTTTTACCAGCCAAATTTGTCCTTGAGAATGTTCCACTTCGACCTCCCATGCTTTTCCATAAGGAGCCTGAAGAAACACAGGATTTAACATGTCCTTGCAGTGTCTCTCTGCAAATACTACTGGAATCCTCTGTATGCAAAATACATTTGAATTCAATATCATACAACATGGAACGAAGACAGAAGTAGACCTACATAATTAGTTTCATACATCTTGGAACAGACCTACAAAATTAGTAGTACACTCCTGTGCATACAATATATTTATTCAACCTATGTTAAATTATCCCACATTAACTAAGAGAATGGGTTGTAGGTCTTGTGGATTTATTACCTCATCAGCTACCTTCTTCTATTGAATACGGCTAATTATTCAATTTTTACATGGCATCAAAGTAAGGCACATCCTTATATATATATATATTCAACTTGTGAGTACCTCGACCAATAAATTCTACAGGTAAATGTTCCATCCTATCAACACATTCTTATATTTGGTTTATCAAATGTTGAAACCATGTTATATGTTCATGCTCCAAGCCTCCAAATGTCTACAATTGGGTGTGAAAGAAATCTTTTTTGGTCGAGTGTATGCAATTTTGTCTTCAGACATGATTTTGAGAAATTCTCATTTAATACCCTTATATAATTACTAATTAAAAGTATATAGTAATTGTTGGATCTAAATAATCAACAGTTAACAAGGAGCAACAGTTGCACTAAAATAGAATTGAGAATCCGTGAGTGAATCAAAGATTGAAAAAATGAATTAAAGACGGAAGATGTAGGAAGTACTTACAAGACGGCATAATTCATCCAAGGAACAAATGATTTGGAAGAACTTTGGATGAGACATCGGTTGAAATCAACTTTAAAAGTTCAAACCCTTGAAACTCAAATTCAAGAGAAACTTTCTATTCCTTTAAAATCAAAAACAAGAAACTTATGCCAAGATTAGGGAATAATAATAATGGGGTAATGAAGGATTAGGGTCAAAATCACTTACCTAAATGCTTAATCTCGAAAAACCTCGGTGAGATCGCCCACACTGAGCTCTTAGGGTTCAAAAATGGAAAAATGGGAAAGAAACCCTAATTTTGGGAAAACTTAATTATGCCCAGGCATTTCTCTTCACGGTCGCAAAGAGGAAGTCAAAGCGCCCAACTTACAATTGGGTCAACTATGACTTTCGACCCTCGCGATTGTCATAAGGGTCTTGTGGTCGCAATACACATGGTCTTACACATGTGCAATTGTGATTCCAACCATGTGATTACGAAGCACATGAAACAATGCCTATGCGATCTCGAAGGAAACAACACAATCACAAGGAAGATAACATCAAGCACGAGAAACATACATAACAACACAAGGCACAAAACATTCACCAAATGCAACCTTGGGATTTGTTTGGAATCCCAAGTACACAAAACAGATATGGTACCCAACTAAATTCGACGTCCCAGACTCACTAGAACCATTGAAATATGGATTCGAGGTCTCCTTTGTAACACCCCGACTATCCAAAACGTCTAAATTAACTAGTATCTTTGTGGAAAGACAAGAGGAGGGTGAGTAATAAATTAAAAATGATGTAGTATGTCATATTCTAAGTGTTCAAGGGTTGTATCTCAAGTTTTGAAGTTAAGTAAGTGGCAAAATAAAAGTTGGCGAAAGTTATCGTAAGTTCCTTATAAAGATTTGTCTAAAATTTGGGTCAAATATCTTGGATGTTTTCTCCCAATATATAAAGAGTTAGAAGGCCTATCACCCATTAAATCGAAGGGCTACGAGTCTAGTTTGCAACGTACAAAACCCCGTATCAAACCGACATCAGAATAAAAAGTTATGAGGGTTTTACTAGGGACTGCCGAGGTAGAATCCGAAATCTGCCGATTTAAGATTAATTATGAATTGCTTATAGGTGCATACCAGCTGTATATATATAGTGTTTGTGAAGCTTAGGAAATAAGGAAGAACTTTCGTGAAGGACTATGATCTTTCGAGCGTTCATTGGAAAGGTATGTTAAGGCTATTCCCTACTTACGACATGTTTCCTTAAAGCTTAGGAGAAATGTAATTGAGTTGTTATCCTTGTTACACTTGTAGCCATTATCGTTGATTGTTGGCTGCTTGAGTTGATATAATCCTCCCTTATCGGGATTCTTATTCAGTTAGTAGCGTCCCTATGTTGGACATGACTTAGAGGCTATTTGTATAGGTTGCTTATAACTAAATTGCTCGCTTTTAGCGATTGGATTGTTATTGTTGCCCTTGGGGCTATTGTGGTTAGCTGCAAGAATGTGATTTATGTCTAGAAGGGCTATGTTCTGCCTACATGGTTATATGGATGAGTTGCCTATGGGGATATATTGATTCCTAGAAGGGCTATGAGTTGCGTACAAGGCTATATTGATGCCTAAGAAGGCTATGTGCTTCCTACAGGGCCATGTTGTTGCCTAAGAGGGCTATGTGACTGCCTACGGGGATAGGGGGACTACCGATAGGGGTATATAGGCTGATTGGCACCTTCCGGGCTTATGAGGGCCTGAGTAGGTGGTCTTGTGTGCTGTTTGTACCTGCCGAGCTTATGGGGGCTTGGGTAGGTTGTTGTTTTATTATTTTTGATAAGTTTTAGATTTAGGAGCAGGTGAGTACACTTATCTTATCCTTGATTTATTTTTCAGATTATTCCAGTATATTAGGATACATTCTCATAGTCTATTGCCTTTTAATACTCTGTACATTATTTTGTACTGATGCCCCATTGCCTTGGGGGCGCTGCATTCATGCATGCAGGTCCTGACAGACGACCGAGTAGACCTCCTCAGCAACAAGATTGATTTTTATCCGGTTGGCTATCCCCTTTCCTCCAGAGCTGCCAGAGTTGGGAGGTTTGTTACCTTTTGTTGTATATATCTTTATGGGTAGGCTGAGGTCCTGTCCCGCTAATCTTTACTACTCTTAGAGGCTTGCAGACTAGTGTGTGGGGTGTATAGGTACGTTATGGCCATACTGGCCTATGTTGTTGGTTTGTTGAAGCTTGTGAGCTGTTTACTGTATTGTATTGATTTATACATGCTTTTGGTTTTGGTGTAGATATCATGGTGGCCTCGACGGCCCAATCAGGACTTCTGTGTTAGTTGGCTATTTATTTATATGATCTCCTGGGAGTAGCTGTTTCTTTTATAGATTAGTTGACAGGGGCCTTGCCGGCCGAGGGTTTAGTTTTAAGCTGAGATATACTAGTTTGTTTTCTTGATTGTGTGTGGCTGTCATGCGCTAGTAGCAAATGGTTCAGCAGGGTCGGCTCGGGCCTGAGTTTTGGCATGAGGAGCCAATTGCTCCCCTCGAGTTTGGGGCGTGACAAACTTTGTATCAGAGCAACATCGTATCCTAGGGAGTCTGCAAGCCATGTCTAGTAGAATCTTGTTTATAAATGTGTTGTGCACCACATCCGATAAGCAAGAAGCTACCGGTCATGTTAGAATGACTATCCTTCTTTGCTCACCTTGTGCTATAGAGCGGTGTCTTAAGGGTTGAGGTTTCTGGCTTATAATTGATACTTGTATGCAGATAGAGATGACTGACACTAGACATACCACAACTAGCCAGGGGCTAGATACAACTGCAAGCGAGGTACCGGCAAGGTACCACAGGTGGAGGTAGCCCATTGTGAGACCCAGGGGGAGACATCTTCTCAGCCCTCTATAGCTTCTCCACCGCCTCAGGAGCCTCCGAGGGCTACAAGACTTCCGGCTCCACCAGCAATACCACCTCTAGTTCCACCTATTCCATCTGATCAGGATTTCAAGAGTGCAGTATGTATGTTAGCACAGTTAGTAGCTGCACAGTGCCAACCCGTTGCGCCAGATGTTGCCGGACCTTCTGAAGGGCCCGAAAGTTTGAGAGTTCGTAAATTTCTTGCCTTGAATCCTTCACAATTTACAGGGATAGATCGCAGAGAAGACCCTCAACAGTTTATTGATCAGCTTCATAGAATCTTTAGAGTCATGCATGCCTCAGCGACTGAGTCAGTTGAGTTATCAACATTTTGATTGCGCGATGTTGCAGTATTGTGGTACGAGAGTTGGGAGAGATATAGGGGAAAAGATGCATCCCTACCTACTTGAGATAGCTTTACAGAAGCTTTCATAGATCACTATTTGCCTTGAGAGATTAGGGATGGACGGGTGGACCATTTTCTGAACCTCCGACAGGGCAGCATGAGTGTCCGAGAGTACGGGCTGAGATTTGATTCATTGGCTAGATATGCACAAGCATTTGATGATACGATGCATGATAGGGTGCGTAGATTTGTGGGAGGGCTCGACTCACACTATATCGATGCTTGTTCTACCTCTGCACTAAATGATAATATGGATATCTCGCGAATTCAGGCATTTGCACAAGGTATAGAGGATCGCTGACATTTACAGTATATGAGTGAGAGGGTCGAGAGAGAGACAAAAGAGGGCTAGGCCCGCTGGTTCACATGGAGATTTTCAGGGTGGTCCCAGACCCCGATATTCTATTAGGCCACCTAGACCTCCACCACAGCAGTTCAAGGGTAGTAGATTTGATCGTCAGGAACAGTCAGGCCCAGATGAGGGCTCACGAGCATCAGGCTCGTAACAACAGAGGGGTTCAGGCCAGGCTAATATAGCCCCCCCGCGTTGCGCTACTTGCGGTAGGATGTATTTCTGGAGGTGTAGACAGGGTTCCACAGGTTGTTATTCTTGTGAACAGGAGGGGCATGAATGGAGAAACTGCCCTACCATAGGTCAGGGTGGTATAAGTCAGTCGACCAGGTCAGCAGTAGGTTCCTCCTCATCAACACAGTCTATAGGGCGTGGACACTAGACTTTAACACGTAGAGGTAGAGGCAGAGGCAGAGAGGGAGCATCTAGTTCTGGTAGTGGACAGAACCGTACGTATTCATTAACTGGACGACAGGACTCAGAGTCATCACCTGATGTTGTGACAGGTACATTGATTGTTTGCTCCCATTGTGTTTATTCTTTGATAGATCCTGGATCTACTCTGTCTAATGTTACTCCATTTATTGCATGGAAGTTATGTATAGTAGTAGAGTTATTAGATTGACCCTTTATTGTATCTACACTAGTTGGTGAGTCTATTATTGCCAGGAGAGTCTATCGAGGTTGCACGGTAGAAATTATCGACCGTCAGACCTCTTAGATCTCGTAGAGTTAGAGATGGTTGATTTTGACGTTATTATGGGTATGGACTGGTTAGCGTCTTGTTATGCTAATGTTGAGTGCCAGACAAAGATTATTAGATTCCACTTTCCAGGAGAGGCTGTTCGGGAATAGAAAGGCGATACAGGAACGCCGAAATGTAAGTTTATTTCCTATATTAAGGTGAGGAGGATGATTACCAAGGGTTGTATTTATCATCTTGTTCACGTTCATGATATAGATGCAGAACCAACAACTCTTCAGTCTATTCCGGTAGTTAATTAGTTTCTAGATGTATTTCCAGACGAGCTCCCTAGTATCCCATCAGAATGGGAAATTGATTTTGCTATCGATATGCTACCAAGTACACAACCCATATCTATCCCTCCTTATAAAAATGGCTCCTGTTGAGCTAAAGGATTTGAAGGATCAGCTGAAAGACTTGCTGGATAAAGGCTTTATTAGGCCTAGTGCTTTACCATGGGGTGCACCAGTGTTGTTCGTAAGGAAGAAAGATGGCTCACTAAGAATGTGTATCAATTACCGACAGCTGAATAAGGCAACTATAAAGAATAAGTATCCACTTCCGAGGATAGATGACTTGTTTGATCAATTACAAGGTGCTAAGTGTTTCTCAAAGATTGATTTAAGATCAGGGTACTACCAGATACGAGTTCAGGAGAAAGACGTTCCAAAGACAGCTTTTAGAACTAGATATGGACACTTTGAGTTCTTGGTAATGTCTTTTCGATTAACTAATGCACCAGTAGTGTTCATAATGAATAGTATATTCAGGCCGTATTTAGACTTGTTTGTGATTGTATTTATTGATGATATT